AAAAATAAATATAAATTGCGTAAACGAGGGGTGAACGCGAAAGTCCTGTAATTTTTCATCGGAGTCACAACAGGCTGCAGGCAAGTCTAAATTAGTAAATTTGACCCCGAGTTGCAGATTTGTCTTTGCCTCGTCTGTCATTGGCGTCTTTGCTTTCTTTCTTTTCATCGTCATTGCGTTAGTAAGATGGTGTTATTAAAATAGAATATAGACTTAGAAAGAAAATGAAACGATTTCTCAGACGAAGTCTTGACTGATAATAATGCTGACAATGGACGTTAGATTAATATGCATTCAAGTTGTTTGCGACAGGAAGCTTGTCACCCGTTCTATCAGAATCGTCAACAACAGAATATTACTGGTAGTATACATTAGCGTTTGAGCACTGGTCTTTCCGAAATTTCGGAAAGCTGGGATGATGAATCAAGGTACAAAGTAACCGTTTTATCAATTATTGAAAAATCAAGGAAAAAAAAAGAAAATTTCCCTTCCCTCTACATTAAGGTCAATATGGACCACCGAAATTTGGCGTTCATTTAAAAAAATAAACCATAATTTTCAGTAATACTGACTTTGAAAATTATGATACAAAAATAATTCCATTCATACCACAAACCAACGTCGTTTTTGTTTACTTTTCATAGCTGTTTCATAAATATCTCTACAGTGGTAAGTCAGAGTGCGCCAATAAACAAAATAACACAAATATTAAAAAATCAAAAAAATTATATGCCTGCTTTATTGACCTTAGAAAGGCCTTTGACAGTGTCTGGCATGATGGTCTATTCAAAAAATTAATCAAATATGGTATAACTGGAAAAATGTATAAAACTATCAAAAACATGTACAGTAAAGTAAAATATAAAGTTAAATGTAAAGAAGGCTTAACAAAACAATTTCAGTCCAATATTGGTGTTAAACAGGGATGTAATCTTAGTCCAACTCTCTTCAATCTTTTTTTAAATGACCTGCCCACTATTTTCAATCCTAATACCTGTGATCCTCCTTATTTAGAAAACTCGCATGTCAGCTGTCTACTCTATGCCGATGATATTGTGATACTTTCTAAAACTAAACAGGGATTACAGACATGTCTTGATAGTTTGGCATTGTATGCTAAAACGTGGAAGCTCTCTGTCAACACTGACAAAACCAAAATTTTAATTTTCAATAAATCAAACAGACGTTTGAATAATGATACATTTTTTCTTGGAGGTATCGAACTTGATACAGTTAAATCTTATAACTATCTGGGACTAGTCATTAGTGCCAATGGTAAATTTAAGGATGGCCTAAAAA